AAATGAGAAGACGTCAATTATATCACTACAAGTCTCCAGTTGTTCTCGGCGCGAAAAGTCTCTTACATGTACTCTCCCGGGTGACCGATGATATGTGTATAGGCTGTACCCTAGAGATATGCTTCTGGTACCTTCAAAACGACCGAGACATGCTTCGGGAAATTAATGTCCAACTATGATTTCACTTGGTTGATTAGATCAAGACACACCGGAAACACACCATGTAATTTTAGTCTGGTTCAGATGAACGTAGGTGGCGGTAGTGTTGACTTTAACCTGCTACCTTACTTCCATGTCCATCTTTGACGCAAAGCAGTGCTGCGCCCCATTATTAACGCTCAGACGCACTTGGGGGTTAAGATCTCATCTTAATGGGCCGACGGTCTGCCCTAACGATACATATGTATGTGACTGGCATCCGGCGCGAGATTCTGTCTTAAAAAATCCTTTATGCACCCGACTTTTAAAAAAGGCTGAATAAAACTGACGTTTATCATATTTTCCCTTCTTCTCTATCATGCAGAGATCCACGTATGGAAGAACAGAATATTGGATAATGTGAGTGATCAAACGCAATTATTGATCACTCACATTTTGCAAGGTGCCGTAGACAGCATGGGGTGGCAAATGCAAACTCAGATTACACAATACCTCAGTAGGACGGATGACATTTAAATACACTTTGCTCCGCAGGTACCCACATTCCTGCAGCTCCGTCAAAACTGGCTTTTATCGCAAAAATAGGAAAAAATCCACTTTAGCGTTTGGTCGGAACGAAATGTAAATACAATTAACTACTAGTAGTATTCTGTAGGAGTGCAGTTTTTGAACGATTCAGGAAAACGATTCATGGAGTACCCCCAATTTTTTTATATTTTTTACTCATATGGTGAGAAGATTTTATCTTATAATTTTCATCAAAATCGCTATTGCAAAAATATGAAATCTGAAATATGAGAGAGCCTCCTTAACCACAATAATTACAATAATAAAAGTAGACATACACGTACACCTGAAATCAGACATAGCTATCCCCCCCCCCATCTTCATTCTTCAAGGAGTAACGGCGCTGCCACCATTAAAGCAAATTATATTTGCGATGTGTTTCTGAAACATACTGGCGTTGCCTTTTGGGTTTTCAATCGATTGCCGTAAATGCCACGGCAAATACGTAATACACATAAAGTGACATCTGGCGTTGCCCCCGGAATTATTGCATTACATCATGCTTGCCCCTTGGATCTTATCTCTGTTGTAATGCATTCACTAGTCTCTGTAGGCATAGTCGTGAATAAGGTCCTGTTCAGAACCATTTGTTCCTCGGACTAACTAGTCCGCGGATCAAATATGGCGCGCACTTGACAATGGGGTTCCTCCTCCCACGCAATTAAACCTCGATATGCTCTCAAGAAGGTGGCGCTGTATTTGATCCGCGGACTACTTAGTCCGCTGATTAACTGGTGCTGAACAGGTCCTTAGAGCTTTCCCGGTTAATCAAAGCAGATAGAACAGAAACAAAATAAATGAATTAATTTATAAATAAAGAAATATTATGACAGGAAACCAAAGCTAAACATTCTTTTTGACAAGAACCTTTAAGGGAATACGCTTGCAAACACAAGGACTAGTAAAACAAGTACAAATTGTTTTCCAATATTCAGATAAAATGAAAACTTGACCTTAACGACAAGCCTCGAGTACACTGCTGAACGATTTCTTGCGCGTTTCTCCTTAAAAGGTTCAACTGAATGAACAGCTGTGTAACTCCTCGGGTCGATCGATGGTTACCGTAAAATCTAGGGTAATGATATTTATTAAACCTTTATTTCAAAGCAGCTTGACTGACCTATAAACAAACCAAAGCTGAGCGGATTCCAGGCATTGCATGGAAATCATGATTAAGACGTCCATTTTCTCCCATCCTATGTGGTTTGTGTTATATATTAGATTGGCGTGACGCAAGCTTGTCGCTCTCTGAAACTTCCAACCAGCTGATACTCTTCAAATTTTTCAAATATAAATATATATATATATATATATAAAACCAACTGCTGAGATGTGCGTTCAAAAGCCGGATTTTGGTATATATAATCAACTGTTGAGATGTGCGTTCAAAAGCCGGATTTTGGTTAACCAGAAACGCAGCAACACGCGCGAATTGACGCCATTGGGCAATCAGCGAGATATGTAACATTTCCTGTGATCTCCCTGGCATCTCTGCTTGTGCAACCCATATCTTCGTCGTCACTCGAACTACACGGCAATATTACAGGTAGTCATTAAGCTGACCACGAAAATGCCATTAATTATGTCCATTAAGATTGTACTACAGTATATGTGAATGGAAATGAATCAATTGGATCTCACTTTCCAAATACGTGCTGTTATGATACTAAACTTGGGTAATTATACCTGTAATTAAGGTGAACTGTGTGTGTGTTCAAAGCTGCATATTTAAGTCACCTTTAACATTGATTGTGCCTATATGGTAGATTTTTCAAGATAATGAAGCTTATTAAGTTCCTGTCTGAATATGCTTTGTATTGATGTACTGAGTTCACATTTAAGACCTCATTCCCACAGACACTATCGATCTATGTGGATTGACCCATATCAGTAGGGACTCTCGCTGAGTGCAGCCAGCTTAAATGAATGACACAAGTTACTGGGGCGTTGTCACCAGCTCTGCCCTCGCAACATTTGGGTACTTTAAAAGTGTTAGAAGTGGCGGGAGTAGTACTGGTATAATTCTGATGTTGACATTTTAGAAAGGGCCGATGTGTATTTTAATGCTTAAAAGCATTGAGGCAGTGAATTCGTTTACAAAAGCAGCTGCTAGGGGCAGACCAGGTCTCTCTTTGGAGAACTCTCACATTTCAGTAGAGACGGAAATCATCCAAAAATGGTCATTTTAACGGTGAAGTTATAATCTTTTGCAGTTCAAGCACATAAAAAATGGAAATATATTCACAATGAAGACTTGTGCCCTCACCAGCAAAGTGTCGAAATTGCTTATTCATTTTGGACCTTAGTTTTTCTTTGGTTATTTATTTATGTAGTCTAAGAAAAAATGGTTTGACCCCGGACTAATTGCAAAAAAAAAAAAAAAAAAAAAAAAAAATGAGGTATGTTTTTTTAGTCCTTGGGTAGGCCATATGATCATACTAAAATCTAGGAAAATCCAAGCAACATTAAAAGCATATTACTGTGTTTTGGTAATCGGTACATCCATTGTAATGCTGATATCATTTGTACGTGTTAGGTATCAACAATCTGAGGGGCGTCGTTAGTAGTCCCAAGGGATTGAAAATACAGATATTATATTATATTATATTATATTATATTATATTATATTATATTATATTATATTATATTATATTATATTATATTATATTATATTAACATGTACAGCCTATCCCAACCATGGTCACAGGAAGAGTTTTATTTTCACTAGATATTCATTGATTTATTTCATCCAGCTATTCACAAGCTGTATAAATTTCCGTGCGGCGAGAATTTTAAGACCAATAAGAAAAAAAGAGAAAGGATCGCCATTACCTAACTGATCTCTGATAGAGAGCATGCACAGTTTGTACCTTCCATTTTCTTCTTCTTGCATTGAAACCCTGTTGTGTACCCAATCCATGTGGTCTAAAAGTTTAATTTTCCAGGGGCGAAAACACACAAATTAAGGGAATGACAAATTTGGGTCATCCAAAATACACATATACATGTAGTCCAAAGTCTCATTTTTTTTAGAGAAAAATCAAGCTTCATTTGCGGACATTGGAGTAAGGTGGAGGCAGAATTAATGGAGGTAGCAAGTGCGGTGCGGCAACGTGACAGAGAGCCCCCCATGCCACCCTCCACCCCCCCACCCACCCACCCATGATAGAGGGTCCGGTTCCCATTAATGTGCACGGGTAAGCCAGTCCTAGATTTTGACCCAGTTACAGGCCTGTATAATTGAATGGAGGGTGGACTGTCTTTTACACGGACTCTCAGACTCGTCACACTGGCGCATTAAGTTGTGGATAAAAAGTCAACCCCACCTCAGCATTTTTAGAAGTCGGTATTTCTAAACGCGGTTTATCCGCATTTCCTGGCATTGTGGACCACAGGAGGGTGGGCTATATATATATTGGAAAGCACGTGTGGTACAATTAAACTGTTGGTTTTTCACTTTCATGATGATCTACGGTAGGCGTCATCATAGCTATTCTCTCAACGTCCTTGTGTATACTGTGAAATATTCAGAAGTCAATTGTAAAATTACCACCTTTTAAATGTGTATTCTTAACAGTTTACCACAAATTCACGTCACGATGTATTAAATTATTATAGTCTCAGAGAAAAGAAGACCAATAATCTCATGTATCTTAGGTGCCTAACAGCTTCGACACCACTGGGAAAAAATTCACTTCAGCATAGTTCGTGTTTATTACTACTTGACGCCAATGATTTGAAATTGTAAGTTGCATGTAAGATTAGAACTACTGCTGCAACAGATAATGTCACAGCCAAACGCAGCAAGATTGGGAATCCTAAAAGGTTTTCTTTGCAAAGTTGTGATTTACCCTGCTGCTTTTGAATTACATTGCTCCGACAAAATATTTATCATTTCGCTTCCACAAAGTGCGAATAGGATATAGGCCTACACGGGTTTTCAGGACAGGGAATTATTTTGATAACTTGTAAACTATCGCTCTACAAAATTTAGCAAATGAAAGTGGACAAGATACTTCGGTGAACTGACCCATGTGAAATCAATTCTGCGGATTATGTACAAACAATACCAATAATTGCCGGCATGCTGGATGTGTGTTCTTCCGTCCTGAAACCGACGGAGTCCACAATCCACAATCCCACGATGCGTATTAAGAATGTCTCATACGTGCTGTATACAAACCTCAATTCAATCTCAGTGTGTTTCACTTAAAACAAGTATATTTCACCAGAAAAATATAAGACATATAAATAAAATGATATTACGAACTTACACATAATGTCTCCAAAATACCATGCCTCGTATGCGTAAAACTCCACCAATGCCGTCGGCATACAGACCAGCATGACTAGGAGATCCGAGACGCTGAGGTTCAGTATAAACAAGTCTGTGCTCTTTCTCATATTTTTGTCCTGAGATATAACCGCTATTATAAAGATGTTCCCGAGTACGCCCGCCAAAAAGATCACTCCGAAGAGGATCGAAACCCAGATAAATATATACAGCGGAATGGCCACGTCACCGGTGCCGTTCACAGAAATTTTACCTGAAGAATTGTTGACAAAGTTAGTGAAGTAGAAACAGCTGGTGGCGGACGCGGTGGCCGTCTCCTGTCCCGTGTCGTTCGTGCAGTTTTCGAACTCCACCAAGCCGTTAAAGGAGGTATTAAAGAGCATGGCGTTGCAGTGTCACAGCCAAGGTACCGAGAGGTATGGAACCGAAAGTCAATAAACCCAGTCAGACTACGACCTCATTCCTGCCGTGCTTTACGGCCACAGTATGCGACGACATGTTGTCTTGTCCACCTGAGTGGGATACTAACGCTCAGCTGTCGGTCAAACACATCTAATCGACTTCCTATCAACTAAAGAGTAAATAACTAAGCAGAAGTCCACGGCGTCGCCAAGTCACGGAGCTTTGATGTCACGGCGTACTTAAGTTTACCCGTTCTTCGCCTTGGCTGGCTTTGATTCCATGAGCGTTCCTCGGAAAACTGAACCAAACAGGCAGGCGGTCTGGAAGTGGAAGTGACAGACGATCGAGAGATGAGCGCGTGCTGTAGTCCCGCGTGCCACCTGACAATAATTATCGATTGGCTGATGCGCAGATGATCCTTCGGCGGTGAGCACTCATTGTGTCTGTGGTATTGGAGAAAAATCAAACGAGCACATACAATATAGCTCCACTTCTTTATTATTAAAACAACTGCTACTTTTATTGATTCTAACAAATTGAATAATAACACGAAATTACCAAGAAAGTAAACGTACCGGGTTATAAACACCAATAAAGAAAATGAAAAAGCTACAAAGTTAGCTTTCCGGAGAGTAAAATCCATTACGCTGAGCCAGGGGGGTGAAACCTCGGCCACGGGGGTTGACGAGTGGGCGGGAAAAACAGGGCAGACGATAGCGTGTTCGGATGAAATTCAAAGAGCAAACATCTGGATACAAATCATGGAATTGCGTTTCCGACTGCAGGTGGCCTCGGGATTGGGTAAATCAGTTTTGAAAAAAAATCTACATGTATATCAGATACTGTTGTGTCTAGACATTCTTAATACGCATCGTGGGATCTGCAGATAGGAGGAATTATAATTGCACATTTGTTTCAAAAGAAGACCTCACAGCTATTGGTTTATATACAATACCAGTTCTATGGTGTGCTACAGCGCTCTATGATGTAATGATCATGCAGATGAATTCATATATATATATATATATATATATATATATATATATATATATATATATATATATATTTCTTTCTTCATATTTTTCCTCTGTAAGGAAAAAGTAAAAAAGTAAGAATCCGGATTTTATTTTCTCCAAAGAAAAAGTTCCTGGAAAATGCGTTTATATTTCATATATTTTATTAATTTTTCGAGATATGAGTCTTTTGAACAGTTTCCGGTTTCTATTCCACACGCTTTGGTGGCGTTCCTGGAGGACAGCTAGGACAGCCAATTAATTTTTTTTTAATATTCTTCACAAGGTTCTTAGATTAAAATGCCCACGGTAAAAACTATTCACTCAATAATATGTTACGTGGCCCCATCTTTTGTCTCTCATCTTGCTGTAACGAAACGCCTCCAAAATGATTGACTGAGCAAATAGGTTGGACTGCTCAGGTTCAAGTTGGGTAATCAGAATGACCTTTGAGATTACGGTTGAAATGACCTCATATTCTCAGGCAATCTCGCGAGACCTAAGTGAACAACATGGTGATCAAAAGAGGCGCGTGTGGTTCACATGATAAATTACGACCTGTCGACCAGTCCTTAAAGTGATACTAAAAATATTTTCTCCAAAAATAATTGTTAAGAAAGACAGAATGGTTTCATGACGTCAATAATCTTTCGTTTTTGATGTATTGTGAAGATATCATACTGGGACCTGTACGTTAATTGTTTCTGAGTCTCTAGCATCATGCAGTTAGGGACGATTGTGCAATTTAGCTCTGCAAATTGAAGACGAAAGATGCGGTTTCCATATATGCTAACCGCTTCTGCAATCTCCATTATCTCAAAGAGGTGTTTTAGTCTAAATATCTGTTACTAAAATTATCACTTTCCATTATTGCCTAACCTTCCATTTATGACATGAATACAGTATCTCTCTCGGCATTGAGCGAATGTTTAAATTGACAAAGTTATCTCCATCGGCTCATGTTTTTTTCCTGAAAAATGCAATTAAATTCGGGCTTATTGCATTTTGTAATATTGAACGTTCGCCTTACAGCGAACAACAGAGACAAAGACATATTTTCATGATTACGGTTCCATTTATTACCCACCGGTGCCTTCCCTTCCCCCTCTCTCTCTCTCTCACTTCATGTCCCTTTTCACTCTCTCT